ACGACTCTCGCTGAGGCGCTGGCGTCATTTTTTCCCAAAATGCTGCTCTCGTTGAGGTGCCGGCCTCATTTCTGCTCCCGAATCGTTCCGAATCGTGCTCACGCTGCAGCGTGGGCCTCATTTTCGGATCGGTGTTTGGCCTCCGTCGTTCAGGATGGCGTTCTCGCCCCAGCGCGGGCCTCTTTCTCGCGCGCCCATCCGCCCGCCACCACCGCACCGCACCACCACCACCACCACCAGCACCACCAGCACCACCACCACAACCACCACCAGCACCACCACAGTTCCAACACCAACCACCACCAGCACCACCACCACCACCACCACCAGCACCACCACCACCACCATCACCACACCACCACCACCACTACCACCACCACCACCACCACGACAACCACGCACACACGCACGCACGCACGCACGTGCACCACCACCCACTACGCACGCGCGCGCGGAGCCACAGGTCCGCTACGACACGCGTCCGCGGATAGAGAAAATCAGCGCCATGGTAAGGATGGGTGGAGGTCCTGGACCTCTCTAGAACTCGCACGAATGCCCAACATGTCCCTAAAACCCTCCTTTTCCTTTTTCCTCCTTCATGTGCGCCGAGCGGGCTCGCATGGAATGCCCCTGAGGGTCATTCCGTGCGAGCGGGCTCGCTGATGCCGATAGCCGTTGGAATTCCAACTTTCAGGTGGGACCCCCTAGGGGCCACAGGGGAGGTCCCTTCCGCGCGAGCGGGCTCGCATGGAATGCCCCTGAGGGTCATTCCGTGCGAGCGGGCTCGCTGATGCCCATAGCCGTTGGAATCCCAACTTTTAGGTGGGAGGTCCCTTCCGCGCGATCGGGCTCGCATGGAATGCCCCTGAGGGTCATTCCGTGCGAGCGGGCTCGCTGATGCCGATAGCCGTTGGAATTCCAATTTTTAGGTGGGACCCCCTAGGGGCCACAGGGGAAGTCCCTTCCGCGCGATCGGGCTCGCATGGAATGCCCCTGAGAGTCATTCCGTGCGAGCGGGCTCGCTGATGCCGATAGCCGTTTGAATTCCAACTTTCAGGTGGGACCCCTTAGGGGCCACAGGGGAGTTCCCTTCCGCGCGAGCAGGCTCGCATGGAATGCCCCCTGAGGGTCATTCCGTGCGAGCGGGCTCGCTGATGCCGATAGCCGTTGGAATTCCAACTTTTAGGTGGGACCCCCTAGGGGCCAGGAGGTCCCTTCCGCGCGAGCGGGCTCGCATGGAATACCCGAGGATGATGATCATGATGTGTGTGTGTGTGTGTGACTGGGTGTGGGTGGCCCGCGGCCGTCCAGAGAAAACAAGAACCCCACTTAGGATGTGTGGAATTATAATGGTGATAGTAATCATCAGAGTAATTATCAGAAGAAGAATAGTTATACTAATGAACGCTGTACTAATGAAAGCAATAAAGAGAATATCAAGAAGAAGACGACGAGCAATAATACTAATAATAATAAAGTTAAAAATAATATTAATAATAATAATAATAATGATAATACTAATACTAATAGTAATAATAAGCGGTTGCTCTCGGAGCTCCGCACGGATTTTTTGGATTGGCGCTGGGCCCCCATGGCGGCGCCTCCAGCGCCGCGCCCCGCGTGCTTTGCGCGCCAAGGAGGGGGGCCCAGCGCCGATCCAGGACATCGTCGCAGACCTGCGACAATGCACATGGATAGAGTTGTTTATTCTGCGACGCCATGCTGTCATAGCGCGCCTTCTAGTGCGAGGGTTCTAGCGAGGCACGCGCGACTGCCTTCTGCGCTTGGAGGCTTGCGGCTGGCCCAATGAACCACATGTTGGTCTCCTGCAGGTCAACACTGTGTCAAGTTCCTCGCAGAAGCACCGCCCCCGCCAACCACATGTTGGTTGCCAATAGTTGTTGAATTTCTCAGAGGGGCACGGTAAAATACAGAGTGCGATGACGGCGCCGATTTGCGCTTCCGATGTAGCAAGAATTTGGTTGATGGTCACGGTGGGGCATGATCGCCAGTGCGTTTCGAACATACCATGAGCTTGCAGACAAATGCAGAGCCTGGGATGTAAACAATACTGACATCGTTTTTGACACGAAGTCCTCTGGTGCATAACGGTCGTCTCCCTCGCCCCTACCCCGCCCTCACCTCTTGGATAACGGTCACGATCGTGCGTATGATGGAGCTTGAACCCCCCCCCACGTGCTCGTGATCGCGCGCATACCACGGCGATCGCAGCGTATCCTTTGTCCCGACGTGCCCCATCCACCCACATGTAGACAATAACCTTCCCCTGTACTTGCGACTCCGGTGCCTGTGGATGCCTGGCCCGTCGGCTAGCCCCAGCTTGACTTGGCTCAGCTGTGCCGAGCTGCCTGGAGCGGCGCGGCGTGGGCGTGTCTTCGTGTGAGCGAGCATCCGCCAGATCCCGCGGAAAGTGCGAAGCTGCGAGATCTGTTGCTGAATTACTGCCTTGTGTCTTCTGTGTCGCCTTGCGTTGTAGTCGTTACGGGGCCGATCCGAACATGAACAAGAGGCCAGAAGAGGGTGGCCCTCTGGCCGGTCTAGGCTGCCTTCGCACTGCCAGTCGCCTGGGCAGCCCCAAGAGGAGGTCTGGGTACAGGGGATGGTGGCACTGAAATATCTGGCGGGCCCGTGCAAAAGTGGCTGTGCCCAGCTGCCGTCCGTTGCAGCCCGTGCCTGCAAACGGCCTCGGGCAGGCAAGGAAACGAGGCAGAGGGCAGACAGGCGTCTCCACGTGTTTTCGACGACCTCGGCGGACCATCCACGACAGCGCTCGCATCAAGAGTTCGCACGCTTGGCACGGAGTGCTGACTCCGTCACACTGCGCGTCACTGTGGCGACGCGCGCGGGCGACGCGTTGCAAGCATGTATCGCAGACGAGCGGCGGTATTGCAATGTATTGCGCCGGACAAGTGTATTGTATTTTTGTTTTGCGACCGTCGCATTGCACGCAAGCGTCGAGCAATCCATTGCGCCCTGGAACAGATTGCACGCCCCAAGCCCATTGCAGCCCCCCAGTGGTGTTGCAATGTGATGCAGCTGGCGGGTTGCATTGCGCTGCTGCGCTGGCCGATTGCGGCGTGACCGTCCAGATCTGACGTGATCGCCCAGAGAGAGTGCGAGCAGGGGACGTAGGGGTGCCGCAGGGCGTTCTCCTACTCCGACGGGGGAGCCGGAAACCCGCTCGCGACGAATTGGCGGGCCTTGGCACCTCGAGTTCGCACGAAGCTTCAGGGCCCCGGTAACAAAGGGTCGGGGAGCCAACGAGGTGCGACAAGCACAGCATGCAAATGCGTCATTGTCACGAATCAGCCCAAAACTTCCAAAGCGCCACTCCTTTCTACCTGGACTTTTTTGGGGGGGCTGCCTAGAATTGGACGCCACCGCACGGCCAGGACGGCCCCAGGAGGCTCCAAAGAAGGCTTCAGTAACCCAAGAAGGTTGAAGACGACCCCAAGATGTTTCCAAGATGGCTCAGGTGGGCACCGAGATGCCCCCCCAGAGGGCAAACCAATGTTTTGCATGTCCCACGGCTTGCTCCCAAAATGTTGAGATGTCTCTTCAAGACGGCCCCCAGAGTCTCCGAGGTTGCCCAACACAGCCCCAGGGTGGCCCCCGAAGCCCCCAAGGTGCTGCCTGAGTCGCCCAGGATGAGGCCCCAAGATGTGCCCAAAGATATCCGCAGTCATTTTGGCTCAAGTCATTCTGACTCGAGGCTCGAGACTCGTGTTCCCACCCGACAGGCGCCCGCTGCAGCTCGATCGTTCGCCCGCCATGCGCGCGGACAGGAGCGAGTTCCTGCCGCTCCGGCTCCCCCTCGAGAGCGACTGCGAGCCAGGGGTGATCGCCCCCGCGCGGGCGCCGGTCGCGCCGCGCGAGCAGCGCGCTCTGGCCGGGGCGGCGGCGCTGTCGGCGGCCGCGGCGGCGCTGGCTTTGCTGGCTGTGGCTTGGCGCGCGGGGCCCTCCACGGGGGCCGCGACTCTTGCTTCTCCCGAGGCTATAATTGTCGAGGCTGCCAGCAATGTGAGTGGCGGGGATCCCAGCGAGACCGATCCGTGCTCGCAGACGGGGGCGTCTTGCGAAGTTACCCGGTGCTGTTCTGAGCCTGGCGCGAAGTGCTACAAGAAGAACGACCATTGGAGCTATCTACCTCTCTTTCTTTTTTTTTATTTTATTTTCTACTGTTTTTTTACATTCATTTTTTCCGTTCTTTTTTACTGGGTGCATTTTGATTTTCTTTTTAGTTTTTGTTTGTTTTTTTTTTTTTTTTTATTTTTTTTTTTGTTTCCCATTATTTTTTTAACCAAACTTGCAACCCATACAGTCTGTGGACGGTGGACGGATGGGTCACGACGAACGAGACAGTCTGGGACTGCACGGAGATTCGGCCGCCGTGCTCGGCAACTGGGGCGTCTTGCGCACTGTCCCAGTGCTGCTCTGATCCCAGCTCGAAGTGCTACAAGAAGAATGACTATTGGTTTGCGTGCAACCAAACATGCAATCCAAACTACATGTGGATGGAGAACGGCTGGGTCAAGACGAACGAAACAGTTTGGGATTGCGAAGTCATCAGCATCGACAGTACCGACGTTTCGTCTGACTCCGGTGCCGGGAATGCCGCTGACACTGATGCTTCGTCAGACTCCGCGAGTAGCTCCGATGCTGCGACAGCCTCCGTTTGCTCGCCGAACGGGGAGTCTTGCGCACTTACCATGTGCTGCTCTGAGCCTGGCGCGAAGTGCTACAAGAAGAATGACCATTGGAGCACGTGCAACCAAACCTGCGCCCCAAACAGTCTTTGGACGGCGGACGGATGGGTCACGACAAACGAGACAGTTTGGGATTGTGAGGAGATTCGGCTTCCGTGCACGCCAAACGGGGCGTCTTGCGCACTGTCCCAGTGCTGCTCTGAGCCAGGGGCGAAGTGCTACAAGAAGAACGACTATTGGAGCTCGTGCAACCAAACTTGCAACCCCAACTACATGTGGATGGAGGACGGCTGGGTCGAGACGAATGAGACAGTTTGGGATTGCGAGGACCTCACCGTGAACCCTGTCGAATCCGCGGATCCCGTCGCTGATGCAGAAGCCGAGGACGAGAAAGGCACGTGCTCTCAGAATGGGGCGTCGTGCGCACTTTCCCAGTGCTGCTCGGAACCAGGCTCGACGTGCTACAAGAAGAACGACTATTGGAGCTCGTGCAACCAAACTTGCAACCCATACAGTCTGTGGACGGTGGACGGATGGGTCACGACGAACGAGACAGTCTGGGACTGCACGGAGATTCGGCCGCCGTGCTCGCAACCCGGGGCGTCTTGCGCACTTTCCCAGTGTTGTTCTGAGCCAGGCGCGAGTTGCTACAAGAAGAATGACTATTGGTTCGCGTGCAACCTAACTTGCGACCCCAAATCCATGTGGATGGAGGACCGCTGGGTCAAGACGAACGAGACAGTTTGGGATTGCGAAGTCATCAGCATAGACAGCACCGCTAATTCCACTGATGCCGCTGACATTGATGCTTCGTCAGACTCCGCGAGTAGCTCCGGCGCTGCGACAGCCTCCGCATGCTCGCCGAACGGGGAGTCTTGCGCACTTACCATGTGCTGCTCTGAGCCTGGCGCGAAGTGTTACAAGAAGAATGACCATTGGAGCTCGTGCAACCAAACTTGCAACCCATACAGTCTTTGGACGGTGGACGGATGGGTCACGACGAATGAGACAGTTTGGGATTGTGAGGAGATTCGGCTTCCGTGCACGCACAACGGGGCGTCTTGCGCACTGTCCCAGTGCTGCTCTGAGCCAGGGGCGAAGTGCTACAAGAAGAACGACTATTGGAGCTCGTGCAACCAAACTTGCAACCCCAACTACATGTGGATGGAGGACGGCTGGGTCGAGACGGACGAGACAGTCTGGGATTGCGAGGACCTCACCGTGAACCCTGTCGAATCAGCGAATCCCATTGCTGATGCAGCAGCCGAGGACAAGAACGGCACGTGCTCGCAGACCGGGGCGTCTTGCGCGCTGTCCCAGTGCTGTTCTGAGCCTGGCGCGAAGTGCTACAAGAAGAACGACCATTGGAGCTCGTGCAACCAAACTTGCAACCCATACAGTCTGTGGACGGTGGACGGATGGGTCACGACGAACGAGACAGTCTGGGACTGCACGGAGATTCGGCCGCCGTGCTCGCAGCCCGGGGAGTCTTGCGCAGTTACTCAGTGCTGCTCTGATCCCGGCTCGAAGTGCTACAAGAAGAATGACTACTGGTTCGCGTGCAACCAAACATGCAATCCAAACTACATGTGGATGGAGAACGGCTGGGTCAAGACGAACGAAACAGTTTGGGATTGCGAAGTCATCAGCATCGACAGTACCGACGTTTCGTCTGACTCCGGTGCCGGGAATGTCGCTGACACTGGTGCTTCGTCAGACTCCGCGAGTAGCTCCGATGTTGCGACAGCCTCCGTTTGCTCGCCGAACGGGGAGTCTTGCGCACTTACCATGTGTTGCGCTGAGGTTGGGTCGAAGTGCTACAAGAAGAACGACCATTGGAGCTCGTGCAACCAAACTTGCGACCCGAACAGTATGTGGACGGCGGACGGATGGGTCACGACAAACGAGACAGTTTGGGATTGTGAGGAGATTCGGCTCCCATGCTCTCCAAACGGGGCGTCTTGCGCACTGTCCCAGTGCTGCGCTGATCCTGACGCGAAGTGCTACAAGAAGAATGACTACTGGTTCGCGTGCAACCAAACTTGCGACCCAAACTCCATGTGGACGGAGGACGGGTGGGTCAAGACGGACGAGGCTGTTTGGGATTGTGGTGAACATATTATCGATGAATCAGAGGGCTCGCAGAATCTCTGGGACTGGTTGCTTCGCCTGCTCAGTAGGTAGTAGCACTTAGCATTTTCAGCCGTCGCCTCCACAACACGTGCAGTCTCGTAGCCTTCCTTCCCTTACCCCCCTTCATCTCATCTTCTACTCCTCGTGCTCCTCCCTAGAGGGCTGCGCCCATTTAGAGCGCCTAGGTGCACGAGATGAGACTGTCAGTGATCCTGTTTTTTACTTATACATGCTGCCAGAAGCTTTTGGCAGCAGAACATATCGTTGGCCTTTGTTTGGGCATCTTGCTGGAGACCCTGGCAGCATGCCGAGGCGCCTGATTGTACCAGATCCCTCGTCGAGAATTCTCAGCCCCCCCCCCCTCCCCAAGATGGGATGGGCCCCAGGGTTCCACAGATGGAGGGGGGGCGACGACGCCGACGCCAACGCCGCCGCCGCCGCCGCCGACGACGGCGACGACGATGACGACGACGACGTCGACGACGCCGAGACGCCGACGACGACGACAACAAACCACCCCATACTCACAGGGGGAGGGCGGGGGCCTTTGCGAGGCCTCTGCGAAGCTCACGGGAGTACCCATCCAGTGGGGGGGGCTCGATCCCATATGCATTGGGTGGGAGAGAGGAGGGGGCAACCCTGGATCATCCATTGCCTCCTGCCCACTCTCTTCTCTCTCCTTCCTCCTCCTCATCCTTATCATCATCATCTGAGATATTCTCGCGTTTTTACCTTTCCGCTTGCCCCTGTCAGTCCAGGACAACCTAAGGGGCCCGTGGGATTGAAGCAGGCTGTATTGATCGAGCCTGGTGCAGAGAATCCCGCCGGGCTGCCTAGTGGGCAGCATGCGCGCAAGGCGCAGCCCAGGGCTTGTGCGACCCACAGGCAGTCCGCTCGAGTGTTACACTGAAACCGATGGCAAGGATGGGTAGCCTTCCCAAGGGTTCCCTTGAATCCTTGCCTCTTCGGTCCATCCTTGACTACTTGCGAAGGCCCGCCGCGCTCGAAAAAGCTTCAACGCGGGCGTCCAAGAGGCTTGCATCCCTAGCGCGCATCCTTCCTATCTGTTTTGGCTGGACGCAGGCAGGCGGAGCCGGGCGGAGCCCGAGGGCGGCAGGCGCAGCCAGGTGCGCGCGAGCCAAGTTTGTCAGTGGCGTCCGTTGCACAGTGGGCGTTGCTGGGTGACCCGTTCACACAGACAGCCAGCGGCCTGGATGGTCGTGCGGGGACCGTGCGGCACGGCGCGCGTCGGTGCGGCACCGCGCTTCCCGTACGCGCGGCGCGGCGCATCGACGGAGTAGTTCGACCAATGAGGACGTTGCCATTGGCCAGAAAATATAGCCTGGCGGAGGAACCAACCAGATGCACTTGTGAATACCGCAGTTGTGGGCATCGTCTTCGGTGGAGCCCTCTTGTAGGGCCACGAAACGTTGCACTGGGTGGGGGAAACGCATGCGGGCTGCTCCACTGGGACCTTCGGTGGAGCTCCCTATGGGGCCACGAAACGTTGTACTGGGCGTGGGAGGCGCATGCGGGCTGCGCCACTGAGACCTTCGGTGGAGCTCCCTATGGGGCCACGAAGCGTTGTACTGGGTGGGGGAGACGCATGCGGGCTGCGCCACTGGGACCTTCGGTGGAGCTCCCTATGGTGCCACGAAGCGTTGTAGTTAGTGTGTGTGTGTGCTTGTGTTTGTGCGTGCGTGTTTGTGAGAGAGAGAAAGAGAGAGAGAGAGAGAGAGAGACGCATGCGGGCTGCGCCATTGGGACCTTCGGTGTAGCTCCCTAAGGGGCCACGAAGCGCTGTATTGGGTGTGGGAGACGCATGCGGGCTGCGTCGCTAGGACCTCAGGTGGAGCTCCCTACGGGGCCACGAAACGTTGTATTCGGTGTGTGGGACGCATGCGGGCTGCTCCATTGGAACCTTAAGTGGAGCTCCTTATGGGGCCACGGAACGATTTTTTCTTTTTCTCCTTGGTTTTTTTCTCTTTTCCTCCTTCTTTTTTGTTTTTTTTTTTTTTTTTTTTTTTTTTTTTTTTCCCCCGTTTATCGTTATTTCTTTTTTATATGCTATACCGGGTGTGGAAGACGCATGCGGGCTGCGCCACTGGAAACTTCGGTGGAGCACCGTATGGGGCCACGGAGCGCTGTTTTGGGTGGGGGAGACGCATGAGGGCTGCGCCACTGGGACATTAGGTGGAGCTCCCTGTGGGGCCACGAAGTATTGTACTGGGTGGGGGGGACGCATGCAGGCTGTGCCATTGGGACCTTCGCGAAATCGGGCAGCCCCAACAGCCCGAGCGCGAAACGCCTGAGGAGGAGGAGGAGCTGGAGGAGGAGGAGAGAACGGGGGATTGTGGAGTCGCTGGGGTTCCACAGCGCGCGCGCGAGGGTTTCGCGCTGAGTTCGCGACTGTTTCTGTGCACACTCTGCTCAGTGTCGTCCTCCTCCTCCTCCTCCTCCTCCTCCGCCTCCTCCTCCTCCTCCTCCTCTCCCTCTCCCCCTCCTGCTACCTCTCTGCCTTTTTTTGTTTGTTCCTCCTGGCGCCCCCCCCCCAAAAAAAACAAGAAAAACAAAAACTGTGTTTGTTTTTGATTTTTTTTTCTGGGGGGGGGCGCCAGGAGAAAAAAAAGGAATGCGACGTGGCCACATCTGCCCTCCCCCCTAGAAGGATTCCTATTGGACGCCCCCATAAGAAGGATTCACAGTGAAATCCTCGACAGAAGGATTCCGATCGAAACCCTCCACTCAATGATTCCTACCGAAATCCTCCACATGTGGATTCCTACTGAAACCCTCCACTGAATGATTCCTACTGAAATCCTCGAATGGCAATGGCAATGGCAATCGTAATGGTAATGGTAATGGTAATGGTAATGGTAATGGTAAGGGTACTGGTAATGGTTACGGCAATGATAGTGGTAACGGGGTAGCGAGGCAATGACAATGGCAATGGCAACGGTAATGGTAATGGCAATGGCAATGACAATGGGAATGGCAATGACAATGGCAATGGTAATGGCCATGGCAATGGTAATGGTAATGGTAAGGGTAGAGGTAAATGCAGAGTTAAAGGTAATGGCAATGGTAATGGTAATGGCAATGGCAGTGGCAGTGGTAATGGTAATGGTAATGGGAATGGAAGTGGGACTGGGAACGGGAACGGGAATGGAAATGATAGTGGTAGTGGCGAAGGGCAATGGCAATGGCAATGGTAATGGTAATGGCACTGGAAATGGTAATGGTAATGGTAATGGCAATCGAACTTGTAATAGTATTGGGAATGGGAATGAGAATTCTAATGGTAATGGCAGCGGTAGTCTCATGGTAATGGTAATGCTACTGGTAATGGGAATGGGAGTGGAAATGGTACTGGCAATGGTAATGGTAGTGACGAATGGCAATGGCAATGGTGATGGTAATGGTAATGACAGAGGTAATGGTACTGGTAATGGTAATGGTAATGGTAAGGGTAATGGTAACGGGGTAGCGATTGGCAATGGCAATGACAATGGCAACGGTAATGGTAATGACAATGGCAATGGGATTGGCAATGGCAATGACAATGATAATGGCCATGGCAATGGCAACGGCAATGGTAAGTGCAATGGTAATGGGAATGGGAATGGGAATGGGAACGGGAATGGGAATGGGAACGGGAATGGGAATGTGAATGGGAGAAAGAACGGGAACGGGAATGGAAATGGTAGTGGTAGTGGTAACGGAAATGGGAATGATAAGGGTAAGGGTAAAGGTAAAGGTAGACGTAAAGGTAATGGTAATGGAAATGATAGTGATAATGGTAATGGTAATGGTAATGGTAATGGTCATGAGAATGGGAATGGCAATGGAAATGGTACTGGCAATGGTAATGGTAGTGGCTAATGGCAATGGCAATGGCAATGCGAATGGTAATGGTAATGACAGAAGTAATGGTAATGGTACTGGTAATGGTAACGGTAATGATAGTGGTAACGGTTGGCGACTGGCAATGGCAATGACAATGGCAACGGCAACGGTAATGGCAATGGCAATGGCAATGGCAATGGGAATGGCAA